GGGGACGGCCGGACGCTCTTCCCTCCGTCTCTGCTGGGTGCACCTGCGGCGCCTGGAGGCTCGCGGGGGGCGGGGCGCACCCCCTTGTCGCCCCGAGTATCCCCGCAGTCTCGGCTGGCTTCTGCTGGGCACGTTGCCCAGGCTCGTCTCTAACTGCCAGGAGGTGGGCGCTCGGGTCCCAGAGAGCCTGTGTCCCCGCAGCCCCGGCGGCAGCGAGCCGGTGGCGACGCTGGGGCAGGTGGAGTGTGGGCTCCTGGCTCACCTGCGGCTCTGGCTGCGCGCCGGGGTGCTGCTGGTCAAGTTCCTGCCCCTGCTGCTGCTCTACCCCGTCACCTACCTCGACCCCCGCGTGGCCTCCCTCTGGCTCCGCCTGCTGCTGAAGGCCACGGAGACCTCGGGCCCCACCTATATCAAGCTGGGCCAGTGGGCCAGCACCAGGCGCGACATCTTCTCGGAACCCTTCTGCGCTGTCTTCTCCAGGCTGCACGTCCGCGTGACGCCCCACCCCTGGGCGCACACCCGCCGCCTCCTGCAGCAAGCCTTCGGGGAGACCTGGGACCAGGCCCTCTGCTTCGAGCACCTGGAGCCCGTGGGCTCGGGCTGCGTGGCTCAGGTTTACAAGGCCCACGCCAACACCGCCTTCCTGGGGGAGGACAGCCTCCGGACCCTTGGGGCGGGCGTCTGGGCCCTAGGGGGCTCTCGAGAGCGCTTTGGACCCTCTGGGAAGGGCCAGCAGCCTGAAGGAACCCTTGCTGACCAGTCATTTCTAGAAAGGCTGCTCCTCCCCCAAGTGGACGTTGTAGAGGTGGACACATCACGCCCTGGCCACCCACCTAAGCCAAAGCACCTCGTCCCTGTGGCTGTGAAAGTAAGTGCCGGGGCTCCCAGCGGGGCTTTTCTCATCTCTAACCCAACAGCCCGCAGCCCACTCCCACGAGGCTGCAGCTTGGGACCCCTCCCTGCAGATCACCCCCCTCCACTGCCTTCCTTTGGTTTCTGTTGGGCTGGCCATCACGTGCAAGCTGAGGGAAATGGGGTGTGAGCAGTCTGGCCAAGGAAAGGGGGGAAGGCTTGGCATCCTCTCTTTCTTGGAGCATAGAGGGACCACCTACCTTGCTAAGGGACAGTGTGGCTCCCGGATAGACTCCTCACTTTCCATGATGGAGACCCACATTGCACTCCTGGTCAGTGCACTGCATGCAGCCACCACCAGGCTGACCCAAACAGACTAGGTGCCAGGTACCCACTCCTAACCCATCATCACGGTCCGTAGGCGCAATTGTACAGCGATAGTAAGTAAAGATTATAGTAAAGTCATAGAGAGCATGAGCGATAGTAGAGAGATTGAAATAGTGGAGTCAGACACATTTCATGGTAGCATGCTCACCTCAGCCTCACTTGGTGGTCCACATGCAGAGAGAGAGAGCTATTTATTGCTAACCAAGGCTTTTATATTCTCTGGGGATGTGCAAGCCCCTTAATTACAGGTGAAGACATACATCACAGGAAAGGGTTGTGCTATAGGTAATACAGTAATGGGAGGGGGACGATCTAGGGGTATCCACGTAATAGGAAGGGGCAGTATTGGGGGTACACATGTGACAAGATGGGCAGATCCTAGATTCAGGATGGTGGCCTAACTTTGGATGTCACTGAGCAGGTTTGACCTGTTCTCTGGCTCACTATAGTGGTGGGACCAGATAGTAGTCTGGCAGCTGACAATCATTTACCATTAGCTGCAAGCAGTGTCCTAAGTCTAACATATATTTGGGAGAGACAATTTGGGAGAAATCTTTCTGTTTCCCACAACTAGGAAGTAAGGCTTCCCACCAAAATAGCCACTGGAAACCCTGTGTACCGCAGCAGAACATGTCTTATCCACAAGCCATTGAGGGGATGGTGCAGGACGGGCCTGTGTTTTATTCTGTTGTGCGCCCCAAACCCGGCCCCTGCCCTCTAGTCCGTTCCACCTCAAAGGCACTCACTGTGTAGGACAGAGTAGAACTGCCCCTTTGGGTTGCTGAGACTTTAGGTCTTCACAGGAGCAAAGAGCCTCATCCTCACTGAGCTCCTGGTGAGTTTGAACCACTGACCTTATAATTCGCAGCTCAGTGCATAACCCACGATACCACCCAGGCACCTTTCTTGTGCAGATTCACCAGTCTGGGCTCAACTTGAAAGCAGCTCATGGTTGGCCACGGCCCTGGGGGAAGGACCAGTGTGAAAGGGTCGGGGTAGATTGGCTGTGGTACACCCAAGGTGATGGTGGTTTGTGGCTTCGGTTGTGTTCATGGAAGTTTACAGAGCAGATTCGTTTCCCATTCAGCAATTTATACAAATTTGGTGACATTGTAACCCTGTTGACATTACAGCACCCTTCCCACTGCCCTGGCTTCCTGCTGCCATTCATCCTTCGTTCCGGGCCCTTCCTGCCGCCTTACCTCTGTTTGGGGGCAGATGCTGCCCTTGAAGTCTCATAGGATTGACTCATGTACAGTTCCCTCTGTACGATGGAATCTCGCCAGCCTCGCTTCTGGAGTCCTGGTGGCATAGTGGTTACACATGGGGTTGCCAACCCGTCCCTTTGAGGGGGAAGGATGGGGGCTTTCTGCTCCTGTCAAGCGTTGCTGTCTCGGAAACTCACAGAGGCAGTTCAACCCTGTCTTACAGGGGCCCAGAATTAGAAAAGCAAAAGGGAAGAACACGCTCAACATATCTGAAACTTAAAACTTGCAACTTTGAGAGAGTCTACAGGGAAAACATTGAACGACACAGGAAGCATCCAGAGAAGATGGAAAGACGACAGAGTCGCTGGACCAGAAATAACGAGCCGACAGCCCACCATATCAGGAGGTAGCATATGAGCAAGAACCAATGGTGCTGAAGGAAGATTTTCAAAAAGCAAGGTTCCAGGATTGACGGAGTGCCCATTGAAATGTTTCAGAAAGCTGAAGACGCACCGGAAGCACGCAGTCGTCTCTGCCAGGAAATTTGGCAGACCGCTACCTGGCCAACCCATTCCAAAGAAAGGCGACCCAACAGAATGCTATAGAATGATATCATTGATATCATCACACACAGCTAAAATTTGGCTGAAGATCATCCAACAACGGTCCCGGCAGCACATTGACGGGGAGCTGCCAGAAGTTCAGGCTGGATTCAGAAGAGGACGTGGAACAAGGGATATCATTGCTGATGTCAGATGGAGCTTGGCTTGAAGCAGAGAATATCAGAAAGATGCTTACTTGTGTTTCATTGACTTTGCAAAGACATTCAGCTGTGTGGACCACAATCAACTGTGGGTCACCTTGAGAAGAATGGGGATTCTGGAATACCTCTCTTTGTGCATGCAGAGCTCGTACATGGACCAAGAAGCAGTGGTGCGAACAGAACAAGGGAACGCTGCCTGGTTTAAAATCAGGGAGTGTGTGCGTCAGGGTTGCATCCTCTCACCACACTTGTTCAGTTTTGTGCTGAGCACATCCTCAGAGAAGCTGGCTTATGTGAAGAGTGTGGCATAGGATGGGAGGAAGGCTTATGAACAACCTGCGGTGTGCAGATGACAGCACCGTGCTTGCTGAAAGAGAGGACTTGAAGCCCTTCCTGCTGAAGATCAAGGATTGCAGCCTTCAGTATGGATTACAACAGAATGTAAAGAAAACAAAAATCCTCACAACTGGACCCATAGGTAACATGCTAAATGGAGGAAAGGTTGAAGTTGTCAAGGATTTTGTCTTGCTTGGATCCACAAAGTGTGGTCATGGAAGCAGCAGTTAAGAGATCCAAAAGATGTATTAGGGAAATCTGCTGCACAAGACCTCTTTAGAGAATTGAAGAGCAAGGCGGTTACTTTGAGGACTAAGGTGCACCTGGCCCCAGCCATTTTCCATTGCGTCATATGCGTGTGAAAGTTGCCCACTGAACAGGGAGACTGAAGAAGAATCGATGTGTGTGAATTGTGGTGCGGGGGAAGGCTATTGAAGGCACCACAGACTGCTCAGAAGACAGACAGTTCAGTGTTGGAAGAAGTCAGGCCAGGGTGCTCCTGAGAGTCAGGTGTGGCAAGAGTTCATCTTACATCTCTTGGGGCATATTATCAGGAGAGACCAGTCCCTGGAGAAGGACATCATGTTTGGTAAAGTGGCGGGTCAGAGGAAGGCTCTCTAGATGGACTGGCATAGTGGGCCGCATCCAGGAGCTCAGGCATAGCAACAGTTGTATGGATGGCACAGGAGCGGGCAGTGTTCTGTTTGATTGTGCATGGGGTCGCGAGGGGCTGGAGCCCACTTGATGGCACACCACCACCACCACGACAAAGGGTTGTGCATCAGTATTGACTCAGTGGCAGTGAGATGAGCAAGAATTGACTGAAGAGTCGTTTATTCTCTTCTCATGAAAGCCGATTGCCAAGAGTCAGCATTGACCTGATGGCTGTGAGTTCGGTGTTTGGTCTCGGGAGAAAGTTGAGGCTTTCTACCCCTGTGAAAAGTTGCAGTCTCGAGAACTCAGAGAGGCAGTTCTACCATGTCCTGTCAAGTTGCGATGCGTCGGTGTCACTGGATGGCTGTGAATAGTCTTCGGTGTCCTCTCTTCTGGGCCCCTGGTGGCATACTGGGTTACTCGTTGGTCTGCTAACCTCAAGGCCAGCAGTTTGAAACCACCAGTGGCTCCTCGGGAGAAAGATGAGGCTCTGCACGACTTTCGTGAAGAGCGACCATCTCAGAAACCCACAGGGGCAGCTCGACTCTGTCCTGTAGGGACGCCCTGAGTCAGCATCGACCTGACGTCACTGACTCTCTTCTAAGCATCTGGCTGTGTCTTTTCCAACACAGATTGGTTCGTTCTCCCGCAGTCCGTACCATATTGGATAGTCTTCACCAGCACCATCCTCCAAAGGCTTCTGGTTTGTCAGCTCTGCGATGGTTTGGGTCGGCCACCTCTTAGTTCTCAAAGTGGCCTCTCTGCTCTCTCACACTCGAGCGAGCTCTTTGGCCTCACGCTTCCCCGACGCATGCAGCACGTCGTTTATTTTTTCACTGCTGCTTTTGCGCGGATGATGGTGGCCCCAAGGAACATGAAATCCCCGACTGCCTCTGCCTCCTTGCGCGCTCCACCTCTGAGACCGCGCGGGCTGAGTGGGGCCCTGTGAATGGTAGACCTGGGACCTGCACGAAGCTGCTAGCAGCGCCTCCCACCTCTCTGCTCCTGCGGGTGTCTGTGGCCCCAGCACATGACGAGACACAGGCGTGCTGTGGGTTGGGCCTTGGCCTGCTAACCACAAGGTCGGCAGTTCAACCCTGACCCCCGCTCCGAGCCTCTCCTCGGGAAAGTGATGAAGCTGTCTGCTCCTATAGAGATTTTTATTGATTTACTTTTATTTTAATTGTTAAACTTTGTACTGTGAATGGGGCGAATGCTCCCATAAAGATTGGCAACGCCTTGGGCACGGTAGAGTGTTACTGTGTGTTGGAACTGACTCGGTGGTATTGGGTTTGGCTCTGGGGGTGCCCGGTTCAGGGCGTGACTGTTAACCCAAAGTTGGATGGTTCCAGCCCATCAGCGGCCCCAAGGGAGAGTGAGCTGGTGAACTGCTTTGGTAAAGATGACAGCCAAGCGACACCTGGCGGTGCTGCCCTGTCCAGTGGGTCCTGCTGGCTGGCACACAGCCATGGAGCATTTCCCTAGCAGAGGCTGAGATTTGGATGGCCTGTGAGTAGCATGCTGGCTCTGGCCCCACCCCTAGGGAGATCCAGGCTCACACTGTTCCCAAGCTTCGCAATGGGACTATTTGGCCTGTCCCTGAGAACCACGGCCTAACGTGGCTTCCACACTCAATGTGGAATTGAAAGGGTACAGGCGTTTCCCACCACCTTATGTGTGACAGGACTTGGCCCCAACTCCTGAGGCCAAGCTGAGCGCAGTGCCCAGGAGTCCTCTCCAGTGTCAGGGGGCAGGCTGGTAGGGTGAGGGGGCCCCTTCCCGTCAGTCCCTCCTGCGAGGGTTGGCTCCCTGGCCACCACTGCCGCTCTCACCACCCATCTCCTGCAGGTGTTGCACCCCGGCCTGCTTGCCCAGGTGCGCATGGACCTGCTGCTGATGAAGATGGGCAGCCGAGCCCTGGGGCTGTTACCAGGCATCAAGTGGCTGAGCCTGCCCGAAGTTGTGGAGGAGTTTGAGAAGCTCATGGTCCAGCAGGTACCACCCCCCCTCCCGCCGTTCTCTCTCTAGGGGCCCCCGCAGCACACCAGTGAAGTGCTCGGTTGCTAACCCAGTATGATCCCAGGCTTTCCAGTGGAGACCCTAGAGGCAGTGCTGTCACGGGACAGCACCGACGACGACAATGTGGTTCTCTTAGCAAACGGCTTCCCCAGGCCTCTCGCCTGTGGTGCCGTAGTGGGTAGATGCTGATGGCTGATGTGACAAAGGGCACAGGAGCCTGGTGGCTTCCATGCCACATGGTTCTGCCTCCCTTCTAGCAAAGCCCTGTGCACCTGTGCTAAGGGAGGGGGCTGCACCCAGCACCCAATTCCTCAGTGTGTGTTGGGTGGGGCCACTGTGATAGAAGAGAATCTGGAAGGTCCTGTCAGAGTGGGATGCTCAGCGCCCCATGGGGGACAGCTGGGCCCCCATGGAAGGTCCTGTCAGTGTGACAGCTAGGCCCCCATGGAGGATGTCGTGGGTGTGGTGGTTGGCCCCGTGGAGGTGGTCTTTAAGGTGTGGCTAGTCCCTTTTTCCCACAGCCTACCGGTCAGCGCTTGATCACTGGCCCGTGTGACTGAGAGCACTTGGGAAATACCAGGGGGGATGACATGCTTGTGGTGACACAGAAAGAGCTGCTTCTGCCTCAGCTAACCTTGCACTGCAGTGCAGAACAATCCTCAGCCAGGCCACATGCCCTGCCTGCTTTCCAAAGCTGACTGGGGAGATGGGCCCGGTGGGGCCAAGGCTGCGTGCAGACCTCCGCACTGGCTGCATGCGGGCTGAGAAGTGGGCCGCAGTGTCCTTGACGCCCTCCGAGCTGAGGGTCTCGGTCCCAGGGGTGCGTCTCCGTGGGCAGAAGGCATTGCTTTGTCCCGTGGAGCAGTGTGGTTCTGATCCTGTGAGAACAACGAGAGCAGAGGTAGCTTCTGCCCAACCACTTGTGCCTGGAGTATGCTCACACTTGACCACTAGCTGAGGGGTTGGAAGTTCAAACCCACACAAAGGCTTCTCAGCAGTCAGGCCTGGTGAGCTGCTTCTGGAAAGCCCCGTACCAGCCAGTCCTCCCGGCACACAGGGAGCACCAACAGTGTGGCTGAGGGGCGGGGTACAACTGCCAGTCAGGCCGGAGGGGCTGGGGTACAGTGCCAGTGGCCTTTCTCCTCCTCAGCTCACAGCTGGGCCAGACAGCGGCAGACATCCCAGTCGGAGGAGGGGTGGAAATCACGGATGAGGGTGGGCGGGTGCAGGTGCTTGTGGGAGGCGGGGAGGTGGGCAGTTAGGGTGCTCCTGGAGGTGGGGGACGGGGCAGTTCAGGATACTGGCAGGCGGGGGCTGGGTGCTGAAGGAGGTAGGTAGGGCAGCCCACTGTGGAGGTCGCACTGTGGAGTGGACTTTGTCCCGTATGTAGTCGGGGCCAGGGGCGGAGCATCTGGAGAGAGGGGACACCTACTGGCCTGAAAGGGGTAAGTGGCAGACTCGTGGCTCTGGGCCACCCCTTGTGTGGGGACACCAGGTGACGGAGTAGACCAGGTGGTGTGGATCAGTGCAGGTGGAGCTTCAGGGGCTTGTGGTGTCCACAGGGACTGGCCCAGTGTCGGGTCTGGACTGGAGGCCGAGAGTCCCTTCGAGGAGCCTGTGGGGGGTGTGGGAGGGGGGTGCTGCCCAGGCTGAGGCCAGCACCACCCAGGGGGCCCTGGGCTGAGCAGCCAGGCTGCTGCGCTTTCGGCAGGACCGGGTCCCCCAAGGCCGGGAAGGGTCTGGGGAGAGTCTTGGGTCTGCGGCCACCAGGGGTGAGAGCAGCTGGGCAGGGGGCCTTGGTGGAAGGCCTGCAGGCCTCTGCCAGCCAGGTGGAGTCACCCTGGACCCGCACCCACCCTCGTGGCTCTCCCCTGTAGATTGACCTGCGCTATGAGGCTCAGAACCTGGAGCACTTCCAGCGAAACTTCTGGAACATCAGTGCCGTCAGGTTCCCCACGCCGCTGCGGCCCTTCATCTCCAGGGAGGTCTTGGTGGAGACCTACGAAGTAAGACTGCCCGCTGGGCCTCCCTCTATCTGGAAGCTGGGAGAAAGGGGTGTGGACGGACGGGGTGTGGTGGCCAGGGGCTGAGAGGAATGGAAGTCAGTGCCCATCTTCCCAGTGCCGGTCTGTCGGGTGACCTGCCAGGAACCCTGGTGGCAGAGTGGTGGTTACATGTTGGGCTGTGAGCTTTGAGGTCAGCAGTTCAAAACCACTCGCTGCTCTGTGGGAGAAAGATGAGGCTTTCTAAGAGCTATATCTCGAACACGCCACATGTGGCGGTTCCTCGCTGTCTCACGGGGTCCCTGTGAGCCGGCATCGACTCGATGGCTTTCAGTTGGTCGGCGACCTCCATCTCCTCACCCCACAGGGTGGCATCCCCCATGCCAGCGTTGTCACAGGAGTCACGAGGCATGCACGCGGCACCGTGCTCTCGCAGCAAGGGCCAAACTCACATGGCCACTGCCCCTGCACTCCCGGGCCAGTCTCCTGAAGCGTGTCAGAGGTGGACCTGGGACATCTGTTTTGTCCCTCTGCTGCACCCTGGATGGGTTGCTTGAGAGGAACTGAGCCAGGGGCTCGCAGGTGGCACCGCTGTGAGGCCACCACAGGCCCAGGCAGTGCCCCTTCCCGTACAGGGGCCCCTGTGAGTCTGCACGCCGCCACTCTCACCTGCACAAAACCACTCACCGTGGCCAGAACTGCCAGCACGGGGGCCCGGGTGGCCACTCGGGTAACAAGGTCCACTGCCCAAGGAGAGGCTGGCAGCCCCCGCAGCCCCTAGGAAAGGAGCCTGGGGGCCTGAGCATGCAGCCCAGAAGCTTGGTAGAATTTTGTGCTACTTGTCACCCGCCCCGGGGTGGGGGTTGTATCTGTAAACAATGTTCCTTCACTGGCCCCTCCTCCCCCATGAAGCCACGGGCCCACTGGTGCCCCTGCGGCAGCTTCTGGGTCAGGGGGAGTTGTCCTGTGCCTCCTCATATGCGCACTGCTGAGGCTAGGACACTGGGTGGGGGATAGGCTCTGGGCCTTTCCGTCACTCATGGGGACAGAGCTGGGGTGCAGACTGCCCAGTGACGCTGCCCTTGCCCTTCCCCAGGAGAGCGTGCCTGTGTCCCGCTACCAGCAGGCAGCCGTGCCCGCGGAGCTGAAGCGGCAGATTGCCCGGCTGGGGATCCGCATGCTCCTGAAGATGGTAGGCATGGCGGGCGGGCCTGTGTGTCTGTCCACCCAGTGGACAGCGGTCTTGGGGCCATGCTGTGCCCATGCCCCTGGCAGGTAGTTCCTGGGTGGGGACGGTGTGCCTGCACCGGGCTGAGTTTTGGGTGTATAGGGTGTATCGGTAGGTGGGCATATTTTGTCACTCCTGGAGTCCTTTGGGGTGGGTGGGGGATCCGGGCATCAGATAAGTGCAGGATACAGATGGCCGGTTGGGGGCCTATCCCAGCCCAGCCCAGTCCAGGGGCTCATCGAGGAATGAGATACAGGAAGCCGGGGTGGTAGCGGCTGCTGCCCAGATCCTGCCCCCGCCTGGAAGGGCCTCCCGTTCCCGCCCCGCCCGAGGAGGTGCTGCTGCTGGTGCTGGGCCATGTGAGTTTCAGGGCCGACTCAGGCACGCATGGGCTCGGGCTTTCAAGGCTGGGACTGTTCAGAAGGTGACCTGTTGTCCAGGGAGCCAGCCCTAACAAATCATCATGGGTCCAGCAGGCGCGATTGTACAGCGGTGATAAGTAAGGATTATAGTAAAGTCAGAGAGAATAAGAAAGATGGAAGAGAGATTGAAATAATGGAGTCAGACACAGTTCACGGTAGTGTGCTCACCTCAGCCCCGCTCGGTGGTCCACGTCAGGATGTGGAAGGCAGGAATTGCAGGAGAAGAGCGATTTATTGCTGACCAAGGCGTATATATCTTTGGGGGTGGGCATGCGTCCTAATTACAGGTAAAGACATACAATAGGCAATGCAAGCAATAGGAGGGGATATACCATGGGCATAAGCATAACAGGAAGGGGATGAGCTAGGGGTGTACACATGATAGGAAGGGGAGGCACTAGTGGTATACATGTGATAAGATGGGCGGACCCTAGTTTCATGATGGTGGCCTAACCTTGGTCACCCTTGAGTGGGCTTGACCTCCCTGGGTTCTCCTTCAGGGAAACAATCTACTGCTGTCCTTATCAGAAGAGAGTGGGCCCTCCTTGTTGTGGGATACACAGTGGTGTCTGCTTCCTCTGCGTGGCTATAACCCTTAGGAAGAATAACCCCTGACCTACTTCTGTTGGCCTCCGAGTGTCAGTCATTCACCATGTGTAGCGAGCTGCTAAGTTTGGCATCCATGGGGGAGACAACGGGAGAAATGTTTCTGTTTCCCACAACCTGTCCTCTACTGGGTGGGTCCCTGTGTGGGTTTCAGACCTTTCAGTGGGGTGGGGTGGTGAGCTGGGCCCTCACTGGTTTCCTGCAGATATTTGTGGACAACTTTGTCCATGCGGACCTCCACCCCGGGAACATCCTGGTGCAAGGCGTCCACCGTCTGCCCAGGAGCCAAGAGTCTGGGCCGCCTCAGAGGGACGGCCTGGCCAGGTGGGCTGCAGCTGCCCTCCCTGACCCACAGCCCCTGAGGCTGGTACTGCTGGACGCAGGCATCGTGGCCGAGCTGCAGGCTGCTGACCTGAGCAACTTCCGGGCGGTCTTCCTGGCTGTGCTGATGGGGCAGGTGAGACGGGCCTGGCTGCTGTGGGGGCCCCTCTAGTTCCTGAGCATTAGACGAGGTGCGGGCAGGAGGTCTGTCTTGAGCACATGGGAAGGCAGAGGTGGAGGGCTGGGGGAGGGGGAGCAGGGTGGGGTGAAGGAGGAAGAGCTTGGTCCTAGAAGGCGGGTCCCGGGAGAGCCTGGTCCCCTGTGAGACTCTCAGCCAATTCCAGGGGCAGTCCAGCCCCTTGTGAGCTCTGTAGGTACCAGGACGCCCATGAGCCATGCAAGTGGATCCAGGGAGAGTCGGCCCCTGGCCCATTAGGGCCCCCTAGACCCAAAGAGACTGCTGGGCCCGGGTCCCCTGACACAGGGCAGAAAGGGAAGCACAGGTGAAAGGCAGTGTGGAGGGAAAGTTGGGCGCGGGTGGGGGTACCTGGGCCAAGCACCCAGCTCTGTCCACCCCATGGGTTCACCTCCCTCCTTCGTTTCTCTTCCAGGGCCACAGGGTGGCTGAGCTCATCCTGCACCACGCCCGGGCCAGCGAGTGTGGGGATGTGGAGGCCTTCAAGGCCGAGATGGCTGTGCTAGTGAGCCAGGCCAGGAAGAACACTGTCACCCTGGAGAAGGTGGGCAGGGGCTCGGCCGCCCGGGAGTGGAAAGGGCATGCGTGGGGGACTGAGTGGGGGTGATGCTGTGGGTGCGTTTGGGGTGTGCATGTGTGGTGCGTGTGAGTGTGTGTGTGTGTGTGTACAAGTGTGGCGTGTGAGTGATGTGTGTCGTGTATGTGTGGTGCACTGTGGGGGGGGGGCAGGGTGGGCTCCAGGCCCTGCCATCTCTGCCCTGCAACCCTCTTGTTTTCCAGGTTCAAGTTTCCAGTCTTCTCTCCAGCGTCTTCAAGTTACTGATGACGCACAGGGTGAGGCCCAGGCTACTCCTGCAGGCTCTCGGGGTGGGTGCCTGGATCCCCAGGGTGGGGGACAAGGCTTCTCTCCTCGGGAGATCGCAAGGGGTGGGGGGAGCAGCTGCTGCACCCGGGGAAAGGCAGGAGGAGCTTTCTAAGCCGCCCTGCAGGGCCCTGTTTTCGGTGCCCCCGCACCGCCCGGCCCTGGGATTGTAACCACCTGTGAAAGGGACAATGACCAAGCCCAGGGGAGTGCCAGCACGTCAACCCTCCTTCTTCTCACTGCCCACTCTGTGGCTGGGGTGGGGGTGCCCCGGTGGAAGGGGCCGTCTATCTGGTTACCGCTGCCATCATGCCTTCTCCAGACTGGCCAGTGTACCCACCGCCGTGACTTCTGTGGGACGGTGGGTTGTCGACGGTGGTAGGGTCGTCTCCAAGGAGACCGCGTCGCTGGGTTTAGAATGATGGGGGAAACCGGAATAGCAGCAAACCCAAATGAGAGAGACTGGCCCAGCGGGCAGTGGTGCACCCACGGACGGAGGACCAGCCAGCGCCCGCGCAGCCTCTCCTGAAGGAAGACGGGGAGCGGTGACCTGGTGACAGGTTCAGCTAGGTCGTCGCTGGCTGATGGGTCCCACCTGAAGATGACAGACGCCCCCCACCCTCGCGGAGGAATGGCAGATTCACAAATGCCTTTGGTGACAGCCCCATCCACATGCTCAGCTTGTAGACGCTGAGCTTTGGGCTTTCCCAGGAAAACTCGCGTTTTTGTAAGCAGAAAGACCAGCAGGATTTGCAGTATAGAACCTCATGGGGAGAAATGTGCAACCCTGGCCCCGGGCTCACAAGAAGGGTGTTGTGGGTTGCTGACCATCTGGCCCTGGACTGTGACCTGTGGGCAGTGGAGGAAGGGTGGGCTGTATGCTTGGCCGTGAGATCGTACAAGCAGGAGCTCTGGAGAGAGTGGCTGTCTTCAGAGCAAGGACAGAAGATGAGCGTGGTTAGTCGGAAGTTAGTCAGCTCAGCACATGGAGGTCAGGCCGTGTGGGAGGCCCAGGCTCCAGGAGCGATTCATCAGGTGGACCCCTCCAGAAAGGGGCTCCTGACAGAGCATGTGGTGTGCATGTCGTCAGCAACCTGGTTATGCTTTCCTGGGTGCTGGGCTACTCACCAGAAGGTGGGGGGTTCAAACCTACCCGCTGCTCCCAAGGAGAAGGATGAGGCTGTGTGTTCCCCTGAGGAGCGACGGTCTCCAAACCCACGTGGGTCAGCATGGGTGGGGATGAATGGGACGGAGGAAGGAAGGGGACTCTGGTTTGGCCGGTCCAACTTGTGGACAGACTTCTGGGACGTGGCTTGTCCCTTGTCTCCCACACCCACTATGAGGTGTTTCTTGACATCTACCACATCTTAAGGAAATCCTCTTTTAGGGACAGCCTGCAGAGCGGCACAAAGGGTAGCAATGGACTGAGATGGTGTGCTAGGCAGGGTCAGGCTGTGATGTCCAGGCTAGGAGTGGGCTCTGAGACAGGAAGTGATCCTGGAGGCCGAGTATGGTGCTCACTGTGTTGCTAACTAGAAGAATCAAGTCTTTTCCTTCCAATCTTCGTCATTTATTTCTACCACCATCTTGATGCTTTTATTGAAAGTGTTGCAGACAGAAGGGAAAGAAGTAGAAATCAGGACAGGTCTGCAAACGACTGATGCTGGCACCGTGGAAGGGCTGTGACTTTTTGAAATGGCAGCTCTCTGCCAGTTTGTCTCGTCAGGGGCTGTGCTACCCAACATCCCCCTAAGTCAGCAATCACGTCCGTCCTGTTCCCAATCTGGGGCAGTCTTGCGCACGCACGCCCTAGCTCTCCTCATTCCTCCATTCCAGTTCAGCCTGCTCCTCACGTACTTCCCTGCGTCAGACTTGCTGCAAGATCGGCCCGGCTGGCCCGCTGGTTGATTGGAGAGGAGAGATCACTAACCAGCCCAGAGGACATGCTGCCATTGGAGCAGAGCCCGCTGGGTGTGGTCTTCTAGAAAAGGGCCCCGGAGCTGTGGAGATCGTTCCTCCTGACTCACACTTCTGGGATCATCTGGGAATTACTCATTTTAAGCCATGTATATACACAAGGTTGTAACCCCCCAAAATTCTGGAA